TGTCTTGCACCTTATCCTGTACCTTGCATATAGTAAGGGTTAATAAGTTAATAATAATGATTTTTAAAACACTTCTCAGGGGCTGGGGATTTAGCTCAGTGGCATAAGCACCTGCCTTGCAAGGGGGAAGCCCTGAGTTCGATCCCTGGTACCAAGAAAAAGACAAAAAAACAAAAACAAAACAAAACATACTTCTCAGAGTTTCCTGGCATCAAAAGACATGTAATTTTAAATTACATTTTAAAGTTGTAATCAACAAATTATGGTGAATATGTTAACTATTTATTTATTGATTTGTGATACGGAGGATTAAACTCAAGGCCTTCTGCCTACTAGTCAAGCACTCTACTACTGCGCTATATTCCCAACCTTTGTAGCTATCTTTTGATTTTTTAAGTGAAATTTAATATTCAACAATTATTATTGGTGCCAAAAAAGTTCACTTTTATTATATAGATGATTAGATTTCAAATTCAGTCACACTAATTATTTTTGTTCAGTTACATATTTCTACACTGAGTCACAATTGATGGTTTTTCTTTCAGACTAAAAATAAGTGATTTGAGAGGTTTCTATTCAAAAGCAGACAATACAGGAATGGACCCAAATGGCTTAAAGTTTTAGTAGTCTTAGAGAAATAAATGCATGGAGACTTAAAACTTCAGAATGGTCTTGTTTTTCATCTCTTTAACAAGCATAAAATTTGGTGTGTAAGTAGAATGAATAGTGTGCCTAAATAGGCCCTGAGTACAAAGTTGGGACCTATTAGGTCTAGCAAAAACTGTTAACGTGTTTTATTTTTGTTCATTTAGGATACCTGTTTTTTTAGTTTACTTACATGCCTAGCTTTTATTATATAGATGTTATTTATTTACCTTGAAAAAGTTGTTTCTATACATAATTTCACTAGTAAATGAGCTTATTTATTGAGACAGGGTCTTCCTATGTGGTTCATGCTGGCCTTGAACTCACTATATAGCTCAGGCCGACCTCAAACAGGTGGCTGTCCCACCTGCCTCAGCCTCACAAATGCTGGGATTACAGGCATGACCACAAGCCTGACGCTTGCAGATTTTGACCTTTTCCCTTTTTCAATTATAAAGAGAAATTGAATGTTCACATATAAAATTTACACGCATAGTTTCTTTCAGAAATAAGGTAGATAACTAGTTTTTATTTTATTGAAGTACAGACTATTAGATCTACTTACTGTAATATTCATATTTGTCAGTAGAGTAAGACAAGTCACAGACTTGGAGAAAATATGTGCAAATGACATGTAAAAGGCAGTTTTCCAAAATATTCAAAGAATACTTACAGCAATAAGAAAATGAGCAGTCTGGTAACAATGGGCACCCAAGTTGTATAGATAACCTCACAGACAAAATACCCAGTTCTTTAGTTGGCTGGGGCTGCCATAGTAGAATACTGCAGACGGGGCTACTTAACAAACATTCACAGTGACAACTCAGTTGGCAAATTTAATTCGTTCCAAATTCATGTTCAAACATTCAAATATTTGAGCACTGAATATGTTTTTCCCAAAAGAAATAATGAAAAACCAAATAATTGGTTTTGAAGCCCAGAAATTACACTTTTAAATTCATTTTTCCAGGACTTCTGTAAATTTCACAGTGATTTCTTTCTTTAACTCTCATAGTTTTTCAGTGTTTTCCTTTTAGCTTTAACTGCTGCCATCACTAACTTCTTTTGGGCCATAGTTACAATATTTTATACAAATAAAGTGCAAAAAAAAGCACAATGATGAATGTTTTAATGCACTGATGCAAGCACTGCGTGTTGTCTGGGTGAGAGTGGCACTTAGACTGAAGTGTGTCACTCCTTTGTGTCTCAGCCACACTCCAGGTATCACTCACTTTTGGGCACACAGACTTTTTTCAAGTTAGATTTTTGGCTCCACTATCGAGTAAAATTTACCAATTAGTGAAAAAATGAGCTTAGAGCTGTTCGACAACTGAGGGTTGTTACGGCTTGTGGCTTGCCATACCCCACAAAGCCTCTTGTGGCTGTATGTGGGGCCTTTTGGGTGTGGCTAGATCTAGAATATTAAGGATGTGTTGCTGGGATTGATTATGGTGCAGTACTTGGACTAAGGGTGACCCAGTCAGGATGTGAGTGCTAACTGCTTTAAGGGTGAGTAGGCTGGATATGATACATGCGGGAGGGAAAGGGTCACTGCATTTCACTTGCTGCTTATTGCACTGTAAAGGGGCTTTTTTTTGGTCTTTTTTATACTGTTTTCTTTTTGGTACTGGGAACCGAACTCAGGCTGTCGTGCCTGCCCAGCAGGCGCTGTGCCGCCGAGCTACATCCCTGGCCCTGCGTATTGCATTGCTTGCTGCCTCCTGCCTGTTGCCCTGCCTTAGAGTCAGCCAACTATTGACTGAAACTGCAGCAGACTATGAGCCAAATAAATCTTTACTCCTTTAACTTTAGGAGTCAGGTATTTTGTCCCAGTAGTATGAAAAGTAACTAAGACAACTGTATTTCTCACAGTTCTGGAGGCTGGTTCAAGATCAGGGTGCTGCCACATGGTGTTCCTGGCTTGCAGATGGCTGCCTTCTTGCTTTGTTCTCAGATGACAGAAGTTGAAGAGAGTTCTAGTTTGTCTTCTTATAAGGAAGCTAGTCCTGTTAGAAGGGCCCTGCCTTCGTAACCTTGTGTAAACCTAATTATCTTCCAAAGGCTCCATCTCCATCACATAGGGTTTGAACTTCAGCATATAGACTTTAGAGGGACAAAAACAATCAAATCCATAATATGCAGGTGGCAAGTGAGCATTTGAAAGTTGCTCAGCATCTCTATATCATTAGGAAATTGCAAATTGGGACAACAATGAGATGTTGATACCTAGTAGAATGATAAAAATTTAAAATAATACCAAGGATATAAAACAAAGGAACTATCACTTTTGGATGGTAAGAATGCAGAATGATGGTCCAGCTGCTTTAGAAGATAGACAGTTTCTTGCAAAAGTGTACATACTACTAGGTTTCTATATAGAGTCTTCCCAAAGCTGCCCATGATCATAGGCAGAACTTCTGGATCATGAGTGTGCTATACTCATCAGTGGACTGAATCTCCTTCCCTGGCTCCTCCCTTTCTTTTCTGCTTTTCTCACTACATAGACATGAGTAACTTTCCTTCCTCATGCCCTGGTACCATCACTTTCCTGCCTTGGAGCTGGCCTACCAGGGACTGAAAATATGAGCTGAAATAAACCTTCTCCTTTATTTAAGTTGTAAGTGGCAAGTATTATATCCCAATGATGAGAATATGAATAAGATGCACACCATTTTCATAGGATCCAGCAGTTCTTCTTGTATTTGCTCAAATAGAATGAAAACTTATCCACACAAAAACCTACACACAAAATACTTATAGCAGTTATATTCATAACTATCATAATTTAGAAACAGTAAAGATGTCCTTCCATAGATGAGTGGCTAAATTGTGGTACATACAGATGGGGAGATGGGGAGATGCTACTCAATGCTAAAAAGAATCAACAAGCTATGAAAAGACATAGAAGAAACTTAAATCCATATTACTGACTGAAAGAAGCCAGTCTGAAAAACTGTACACTGTTATTCCAGCTACATGACATTTTGGAAGAGATGTTTACAGTGGGTAAAGTTGTGCATTGTAGTAAAATAGAGTATATGAGAAGTCTCTGTACTGTCCAGTTTTGCTGTGAACTTGAAACTACCTTAAAAAATAAAGTGTATAATTTGTAAAAAAATTTATAATGGGAAAAAAGGACATTCAATATAGTTATCAGGCCAGGTCATCTGACTTCAAGCAGTATAATGCGGTTCAGTTCTGAGTCTGAACACTAAATTAGCCTCAGCTGACCCCAGTTTAAAGGCATGATCTGCCCCTAGGTCAGCCACAGATGCAGTCTGGGCCCTCCATACTTCTTGCTAACTGGTTCCAAATGACTCTGAGCCCAGGGGTTTCCAAGATGCCCTGTCCCCTCCTCCCACAGGACTGCCTTCACTTCACATGGGTGGAGAAAGGGGCACCCAGAACATACTCACAGGCTGAGGTCTGGGGGCTTCCATGTCCTTTCTCTGAGTTCTCATGTCATTTCTCCCTCCCAGTACATTGTGGGTTCGCCCAGAGAGCTCCCTGCAGTTCAGTGTCCAGACTAAAGCACAGGACCTCAGGATTGGGTAGGATTGATTGACATCCCCTCCCCAGAGGCTGGACCGGGTTCCCTACCACACCTTCGGTACTTTAGTGAGCATCCTGAGCCATCTTGTTAACATATACTCTGGTGTGAATCGAGGGGTTTATGAGTAACAGAGAAGATCTGGTCACCTGGGAATTGCCGAGGTGAAGCTCACTGTCAGGAGCCCAGGACAGAGAGAATACAAAGTCAATACTGGGGTTTGGAAAAATAGTAGATCTTAAAAACCTAATTGTTAGTTTTTAATTTGAAAATGTACTCTCAAAATCTGAGGTAATTGAGTGTTTAAAGCTCTAAGATTCAAGAGGAAAAGCTGATCTTTTGATATTAGACTTAATATCTATTAAAATATAAATATATCATACAGCTTGAATTTTGTGTTTGTAATTTTATGTATTTCTTTGATAGGAAGAGAGGACTTTGTTTGGAAAGATTAGCCAGTAGAACAGCAGAGGACACTTCTCAGTGTTTAATACCTGCTAAAATAAACAGATGGCCTTAAGAACAGATTTTGAGCTGGGTGTGGTGATGCATGCTTATAACCCCAGCACTAGGATGAGGCAGGAGAATCACAAACATTGGAGGCTAGCCTGGGCTACAGGTGAGTTCAAGGCCAATCTGACTACCGGAGACCCTGTCTCAAAAAATTAAAAAAAAAATTGTTGGATCTGGGCTATGGATTACTTTATTGGTTATTTTTCCTTTTAATAAAATAGCAAATGATTTCGGATTGTCTTTGGTATCCACTTTCTCCAAGAAAGTGCTTAGTTATCTTTTTCTCTTACAGATTGATTACACCGGAACAGAGCCTTCTAGTCCCTGCAATAAGTGTTTGTCCCCAAATGTGACACCTTGTGTTTGCACCATTAACTTCACTCTGGAAAAGGCGTTTGAGGTCTGTGTTTCCAAGTAAGGAGTTACAAGAGCCATGCTTTACAAAATATTAATAGTGTCCTTTTTCTGCAAGCTAGGTACATTTTTGTGGTAGAGAAAACAGTTTAATTTATTGAAATCTATAACTTTTGAAGAAGATTGTTTTACATGCTTGGCTATTGTATTTTGTTTTCTGATAATTACATTCTTTTAACTGATTCACTTAGTACTTTGTGGACAAAACTTAAGATGAAATTTTATCCATTCATTGGAAAAATTTATAACTACAATTTTGTGCCATTTATAGCTCCATATACTTGTGTTTTTAAATTACTGCTCAAATTGTCTTGCATACTTTTAATTATAAAATAAATTATTTTTGTAACATGAAGGATTACAAAAATGAGAACACTAAAACTTTCATTGTTTTTGTATTTTGATGAGTCATTGGATCGTGTGTGTGTGTGTGTGTGTGTGTGTGTGTGTTGCATTGACAGCAATCTCCTATTCTTAGTAACTGAGCAGAGGCTGAAGGATTTATAGATTCAGAATAGGTATAGAAAGACCAGTTTGTCTGTACCTGCAAATTTAGGTTAAAAAACTGCTTTAACACATGCCAACATTTTAGATTTTCTGCATTTCAGATGTTTTGAAGGTAGTGATAATTTAGCAGCCCCTCAGAGATGGTTGCCATATAGTGCTACAGTTGCTCTTGGATAATGGTAAAGGCAAGGATAATGCTGCCTTTGGAAAAACCTGGAAAATCAATTTGGGAAAGAACTTCGTTTCAAAAGAATAATATACATTCAGTGCACCTTTCAAAGTCTAGTTTTTCAATACGATGGGCAAACTGTACAAAGAGACTCTCGCTTTTGTCAAAGTAGGTACTAAAGAAACAAGACTTAGAGTGATTTAGAAGCTCCCTCCATTTATCTCCTCTCCCATTCAAAAACACTTAATGCAAATATGATTAGTCTCAGATTCATTCTTTTACAGATTCTTTGTTTTTTCCATAAACTTTGAATTAGAAACATTTTGAGGGATTTTAGTGATCTCAAAGTAAGTTATTTTGTTTCAGTGTCCACTGAAGGATCATTTTTGTATTTTCAGTTGGTATGGGCCTTTTTTTTCCCCCAGTACTGGGAATTGAACAGGATTTTGCACACATGAGACAAGTGCTCTACCACTGAGCTACAGCCTCAGAACAAACTCCCATCCATATAGTTAGTTTTTTCAAGGCAGGATCTCAGTAGGAGGCTGGTCTTGAACTCACAATCCTGTTGCCTCAACCTCTGGAGCTCTGGGCTTATAAATATGCACTTAGCATATCTGGCCCTGTACTGATCCTTAATTGAAATGATTTTTTTTTCCAAAAAATTTTATTGTGTTTCTCTGATTTAATTTTGATACCTCTTATTTATTATTTATTTATTTATGTCTTTTTCCTTTTTATCCGCACCGGGGATTGAACTCACAACTGCCTGCTTGCAAGGCAGGCGCTTATGCCGCTGAGCTAAATCTCCAGCCCCGATACATCTTATTTTAAAAAAAAAAAGATTTCTATGTAAACAGTTCCTTTATATAAGAGTAGGAAAGTTTATACAATTTGAAACTTCAAAATCAACCCCACCTACTCTGGAGGGTGGGTAGTATTAAGTCTATGGCATTCTCCCTGAGCTACATCTCCAGTATGTTTTTTTAAATTTTGAGACAGAATCTCATTAAGTGAGTTGTTGTGCAGGCTGAACTGTGGTCTTCCTGCCACAGCCTCCCAGAGTACTAGGATTACACATAGGTGCTACCAGGCCCAGCTGAAAATCAAGATTTAATGATAATATATATGAAAGTAGGAAATCAAATAAGGAACTCATAACATAGCTGAATTCCTTTAATTGAAGATAAGAATTTTAAAAATAATGGTAGCAGCTAGAAATAAGAAAGTAACAATATTTTTGCTACTTGTGAATTTAGTTATTTGAGAACAGTGTTTTAACAGTTCCTAAATCACTGTAGTGTATGTAGGTTACGTTTTCTTCCCAAATTATTTTGAAGTTGGCTCCTCTAAACATGTTCAGATACTTCTCTTATTATAAAGAAACATTAATATACTTTACTAGTTGCCAGTTTATTAATTGCTAATAGGAGATAGTATAAGTTTTATATTCTTAGAATTTACTTGGAAACAAATGACAATTTGACTATTATCCCTCTGAAAATTTAGTGCTAATTGAGAAGCACCTGTCTAATTCACAAGAAAGGAGGTTTTTCTTTAGAGAACAAAGCAAAACAGAAAAAAGGGTAGAAATAATACAGAATTTAAAACAAAATAATAACACTAAGAACGCACTAGCTGATAAATTACATATTGTCATCTTAGAAATAGTTGTCCAATTACAAAATCAAAGCATAAAAAGTGGAGAAACAATGACAGTGCAAATTTTAGAGTGAAGATAGCTCGAAGTAGGCTAGTAGATTACTTCAGAGTTATTTTTAAGTATTTAAGGAAGGTTTGAAAGTTTACTCTTTGGCTTTTGTAACAAACTTTCTTTAATTTTATCTTTAATTGCACTATTTTAAATTGCTGAGTATAATACTTGTAGAATTCACTTATCTGTTATCGCCAATTATAGACTAGTAAAGCCCACATTACTCAGGGTGTTTTTTTGTTTTTTGTTTTTTGTTGGTTTTTTTGGTAGGCGGGGATCAAACTCATGACCGCATACTTGCAAGGCAGGTGCTTATGCCGCTGAGCTAAATCTCTGGCCCCACAGTACTCAGTTTTTATGAAGCAAAGTGAAACAAGTTAATACATAGTAGCTTTTATTTGAAAAAAGATTCCCTTTCTGTTTCCAGGGCAATGTGTTTATGTATTATGGCCTATCTAATTTTTATCAAAATCATCGTCGTTATGTGAAATCTCGGGATGATAGTCAGCTAAATGGAGATCCTAGTGCTTTGCATGTAAGTAAATTGATGAAATATGAAAATTGATGTATGTAAAATAAGAACACATGGAAACCACTGAGTTAGAAATGTTAAAATATTTAATAATGTTAGTACGAAATTAAAGCATTGTTCGTCATTCTAATTTGTATAGTGAGAGTTTCTTATGTAAAACTCTTCTGGGAATTTGCACAAGTTAATTACTTCTTAGTCTAGTCATCATTGGGATTTGGGCTTTACTCACCTGCTTGTAATGGTGTTTTGGTGAGTCTAGCATTCTGAATGTGTAAATGTGTTCTGTTTAGGATTACTTATTATTAGCATACTCGTAGAAGTATGCAAATAAGCTTATTTTCATTTCTGGAATTGTGTTTTAATATTGAATGGGATGCTCTTCATTTTTTTTTTTTTTTTCCACTTGAGTAGTGAAATCCAAAAGGTGGGTTACTGACAAACTCTGTGCAGCTATTTGAAAATTCAGATTCCAAAACTGCCCAAAGTCTTAATATGTCAGTGTCTACATAGGTGGAGTCTAAAATGTTTATTTTTAATAAGCTCCCTTTATAATGCCTACCCTTTTTGGGAATGTGTAAACTAGGCGTTCTTAGTTTCGTGACTGTTCAACTTTCTCAAGTAGCAGTTTATGTTATTCTCAATGCAGCAAACATTCAAAAATCCAGAGTAATTTTGGGGATCTCTTAGATCTGGTGACTCTTAGAATGTAGTGTAAAACTATATTGCAGTAAAAATGGACCTGAAAAACTTAAGAGATGCTTTGGTTAGCTTATCTTGACTGGTTTTATTGCTAGTTTCTGATAACTAGGATTTAAGAAGTACAGTACAAGTCTATTTGGATTACTCCTAGTGCGCACAGGATTTTAGTTAGACCTGCAAATTTTTTTTTTTTTTTTGTCTTTTTCCTTTTTATTGGTACCGGGGATCAAACTCACGACTGCCTGCTTGCAAAGCAGGCACTTATGCCTCTGAGCGAAATCCCCAGCCTCTAGACCTGAAAAATTTTGTAAATAATGTGGAATTTATTTCATAAAATCTTTTTAGGATTCATATCTACTATGAGAGATACCAAGTTTCTAGACCTTTTTAAATTTGTTTATTGAGATTGGAGATTATGTGTGTTAAAAGATCCAAAAATGGTGCTTGATTTACAATTATATTGCTGTTATAGCCTAAGAGTCTGCATTAGATTCCTTGCTTGTTTTTTAGATATGAGAATGACAAAATTTGAAAATATTTAGCTGGTAATGTTCATTTTATATGTAAGATTCAGTTTATTCAATGAAGTGGTCTAAAAAATGAGAACCGCTAGTCTCTTTATTTCTAGTTTATGATTCCCATTTATTTGTTTATTTATTTTCAGGACCCAGGGATTGAACTCATAATTTCACGCTTGCAAAGCAGGTGCTTGTGCCACTGAGCTAAATTTCTGGCCTCTTATGTTTCTCTTTATTATGTTAGAACTAGATTTATAGTAGACTAATTTTAAAATTTTTATCAGGCAGAAAACTCTTTGTGTTTTCTATGTTGATATCAAAATAAGAGATATTAATTTGATATATGCATATATAACTGATATGCAAGCGGAAGTTGTATTGGAAAGATAATAGTTGTAAGGAATAGATTTTGAGTATTTATATGTAGTGTTATTTATAATGTATTTTAATTACATACTGATTTTGCATGCATTACAAGTGAAAAAAAGGCAGGGGTTGAATTTTTAATCAATAATTTGAGATAGCTCATAGTTCTTCCAGAGGTTTAGTTAATATCTTTCTTCTTTTCCTTTAAAAAACCAGAATCCCAGTAAGGAATGTGAGCCTTATCGAAGAAATGAAGACTTACCAATTGCTCCTTGTGGAGCTATTGCCAACAGCATGTTTAATGGTATGATACAAATACAAGTGTAGATACAGGTATAGACATACGTAATTAGGATGGTTCATGCAGTCTTCCTGCAGATTTGATAGGGTAGCAGTCACGAATGAAATCAAGAAATTCAACTTTAGTGTAAACACTTGATTAGGTATTGTGGGATTTATAATGTTTTATGACTTCTTTTTGAGCATTCTTATATTTAAGAATAGATTTCCATCTCTGAGAAGAGCAAAGATATTTTGCTAATCCCCTGTTCCAAATACAATAAAATTAAAGCCAGGCTGCCATTTTTACTGACTTTGATTATTGACACCATTAAAAAAATGCTGTAGTTAATCATTTAAAGTCTAAGAGAAATATAATATGGACCATCAATATAAGTCATAGAGGTACTTTTCAGCTTTATAGTAGTCACATTAAAGAAACATGTAAAATTTTATAATACTTTTATTTAACTTAGTATGCACAAAATATTTCAGTATATAATAGTATGTAAAAGTTATTGAGGTTAATATGTATTTTTTATACTCAGTCCCTGATATCTGATGTGTGTTACACACTTACAGAGCATGTTTGTTTGTACTAACTACATTTCGAGGACTCAGTAGCCAATGTGGGCCTTGCCTGCAGACAGAAAAGGGTAAGCCAGGAGGTATTGAAAGGAAGAGAAGACAGGCAGATTTATTTTGTGTGTTAATGGCTTTTCTTCTTGTTACTGAGACAAAATATCTGATGCTCAAAATTGAGGAGGAAAGGTTTATTTAGTTCACAGTTGGTGGAGGTTTCAGTCTCTCTCTATTCAGCTGGCCCCAAGGCAGGTGTCATGGCAGAGGAGCAACACTTCATGGTAGCAGAAAGCAGCAAAAGCAGCCAGAGCAAAAGGGGCAAAAGGGAAAGGGAGAGAAGCATACCTCTTTTTCTCCCTTTTATAGTATGTAGGCTACCCTCCTCAGGGTGAGTGTGGCACTCACATCCCCAATACTAGCACTAGACAGTAAACCAATCACAAACTCTAGAGATTCAGCTGCCTCCAAAAGCCCTGTCCCCCATGACCATATGTGGCTTTGGGGGAACATCCAGACACAAACCATAATTCCTTGTAATTTTATTTGGGTTAATATTAAAATACTTGGTCTTCTCACATGTCAGTTAACTGTATAGGAAAGGGAGTTAGATCTGTATCACAGGAAGAGAAGCTCATATGTAATTAAAAGTTACTATGGATGATCACCTCTGAATAAAAGACAAATGTGAATCACTCCACTTTTAGGAGCAACTATCAGATCCTCATTTTTCTTAGAATAGAGCAGATGCTATGGATTTTTAGCAGTTGTTAACTAGTATTTTCCTTTTTTTGTTAGATACATTGGAATTGTTTCTGGTCTCCAATGAATCTGATCCTACACCTAAACCTATTCGTTTGCAAAGGAAAGGTATTGCTTGGTGGACAGATAAACATGTGAAATTCAGAAATCCTCCTGGAGAAGGAACCCTGGAAGAAAAATTTAAAGGTAAAAATTACTCATCTCAGAAAAATATCAATCAGATGCTTCAATGAAGTATCTTAATTTTTCTGTCTTTGGAATCTTAAAAATAGTGTTTTTACAATGAATATTTTTCCTTCAGCCTCATGCCAATTTAGGTAAAGGTTCTTCTCTTTCTTCCTCCTCCTCCCCCATCTTTCTAGATAAAAGTTCTAATGTATTAAAAAGTCTAAAGGAAGCTGGACGTGGTGGCGCATGCCTATAATTCCAGCACTTGTGAGGCTGAGGCAGGAGGATTATCATAAGTTCGAGTCCAATCTGGGCTACAAAGTGAACCCAAGGCCAGCCTGAACAGCAGGGGGAGACCCTGGTCCTCCCCGCCCCCAAGTCTAGAGGAAATACATACTTTTAATCATGAATCCAAATTCTCTGGGATTTTCGTATAAGCACTTCAATTATAATCTTTTATACCCTCAGCAGAGTTTGCTTTAAACAAGACCTTATTTATAATACAAATGTGTTTTTGTTTAATTTCAGTGTGTGCGAATGTGTGTTTGTGTGGAGTACTGAGGACTGACTCAGAATCTGTGTGTGTACTAAGTACAGATCTGCACCCTTGAAGGTTGTTTTTTGTTTTTTTTTTTAAATTTTGAGACAGGGTTACAGTAAATCTATTCTTGTTTTTATAGTCTCTTCGTTATCAATCAAGTCTTTTTAGTTTCTTCGTTGTACAAGGAATTGTTTTCTCCTTAGATTTTAAGATTCCTTAGAACATGAATATCTGTATACCTTTGAAATAAAAATTTCAGATTGTGTGTTGCACATCTTTGTATTAGGAGTGTGACTTTTCATTGAAACTCAGTAGAACTGAATATTTTGTTTCCTCATCTCTCCTCTACCCTTCTTTAAGGCACAACAAAGCCAGTAAACTGGCCTAACCCAGTGTACATGCTGGATTCGGAAGAGGATAACAATGGCTTCATAAATGAGGATTTGATTGTTTGGATGCGCACTGCAGCATTGCCTACGTTTCGAAAGTTGTATCGTCTGATAGAACGGACAGATGATTTGCATCCAACATTACCAGCTGGGCAGTACTTTTTGAATATCACGTACAGTATCCTTTTTTGGTTGTGTATGTAGTCATTGAACTTGAATCTACTTCAGCCTTATCTCAGTGCTGCAGTGTGTTGGTCTGTGCTTTGTTTTGATCCCTGCATTTTTATGAGTATATGTGTAGGGAATACACCTTCTAGAAAGCTCTCAAATGTATATGTACTTTGTACTAGGATTTTAAGCATATCATTTGGTAAAATTACTTAAAATGTAGGTGTTTTATTTATTAAGAAGCTGGATATATTTATAAGGGAGTCTATAATTGAGCTTAATACAGAGAGCAGTGAGTGTGCCTAATAGTAAACAGGTTACATTAGAACAGCCTGACCAGGCATGGTAGCACATGCCTGTAATCTCATGAGTCAGGAGGCCGAGGCAGGAGCATCACTGTGAGTTCAAGGCCAACCTGGGTTACATAGTGAGTTGAAGGCCAACCAGAACTACAAAGTGAGACCTTGCCTCATAAAAAACAAAACAAAACAAACATAGCCTAGACTACAAGATAAGAAACAAAATAAAAACTACTAATGAAAAAATTAGCATATATACTAACTTACATCAGCATAATTGTTCATGCTTAATTTATATATTTCTAGTATTGAAACATTTTAGCTGCATTTACATTAATAAGTCAAGTTTATAACATTTGTATGGTAAAGAAAAAAAAATAAGTCAAGTTTACTTTCACTATTGATACCTGTTTCATTTTTACTATATTTCAACACTTACAGGAACTGTCTGTGTTACTTAATTGATGCAATAACAAGGTAGGTATCATCTTCGTGTTACAGAGAAAAGCCCTGGACCCTAGAATGCTTCTGTGGCTGACGTAGGTTATGCAGGTGGTAGTGAGAAGACTTGGGGTTCAAATCAGAGCGTTGACTCCACAGGCCACGGCCTGACCCTCAGCCACCACCGTAGGCTGCGCCCCTTGCTGGTTCAAATAGGGTGGCAGATCAGTCTATACTTGTGTAGGTGCACAGTCTTTTTAGCAGGGAGATGCTTTGTTCCGCTTGTTCTAAACAAAGTTTTTATACCTTTGATTACTAGTCCAGTGTTTATAGATGTTGTGAATGAAAGAATTAGTATTAGAATTTTCAATATTTGGTGACTTTTGCATCTTTTATTTTTCATAATCTAAATGAGCCACAACTGTATACTTTTGTTTTTATGATGGGTTAGTAACTGATTAATAGACTAATTTCAAAATAAGGATTATTTTTGGAAGCTAGACTTTTGATGTTATACCTGAATATAAAAGTGAGTAAGACCTGAGAGTGGCAGAGTGAAAGTGATGAAATTCCTGAAGCTAGGCTCATGTGAGCAGTTTGGACACACAGATGAAGTTCAGGTACTAGGATAAAGAACATTTTCCTGAGAGGAAAGCCACAGCATCCAACAGATATAAAAGAATAAGGACAAACACCGGCCTGGCGTCTCCGTCAGAGCACCATGTGGGGAGTCCAGGGCAGCGGGAGTTCTTGATTGACAGGAAGTCTGCAGCGGTGGCCCAGGCCCCAGAAGGGGAACTGTTAGGAAGAATGTAGGGTTTCTCAAAGACTGAAAACAGGGCTTGGGCCTGCGAGCATCCAGAATTGGTGATAAAATGGGGTGTAAAATAGGAACCGGCAGAAACCCATCTTTTAGGGTTGAGACCCAGAGAGAGAGAGAGCCTAGCGTGGGTGATTCGAAGCAGTGTTGGGCCCTAGAGTGGGATTGTGCGGAGCTCTTAAAATCATTCTTGTCTCAGGTTAGAATTGACTTAAGAACTGATCCTGCCGTTTGGAGTCATAGGGCTGCATCTGTGAGGTGCAGACTGCAGAAACTATAGAAACAGATGGGGCCTAACATAATTCAAAAATGCTTTTGAAAAAGTTGTACACTTTTTAATAGGGACTTTGTTCTGTCCACTCCGTACCTGATTGTCAGAGTCCTCGAACAGATGCATGTAGAAAATACATCTGGTAAACTAGTGTCTCCTTTCTTAAGTCTTCTACGTAGCCACCTTTCACTGGACTGTCCTAGCCTTCAGCTCTGTGTCATGCCATGAGTTTTATCATTACTCCAAATGAGCATGAAACATTGGTCGTGTTTTTTGGCCTTCTGCTCAGAACCCTCAGTCTCCTCGCCATGTTCTTGTTACATGTGCTTTTTGAATTTACGAATACTTTCCCTTCCTTAATTTCTCTTGTGCTCTCAGCCCCCTGCTTCTTGTGTGGGCTTTACTGCTGTTCATCTGAAGTATTTTTTCATACTGCATTATACTTCAAAGCTTTTTGCCTGTCCTATGAAATGAGAACAAAACCATCTGGAGAAACTACTTACATAACCCTCATTGTTTGATAAAATATAATACATACCCTTTCAAAATAACATATTTTTTGTGATCCAGAACATGCGTAAGTACCTGTATGTCATAGATTTATACATATGAGTTATAAGCAGTTAACTAGCAACTTTAAGCATTTTATCTTAAATTATCAAGTAACCAGAGATGGAAAAGTCTTCCTATACTCTCCTCAGATTACCCTGTACATTCTTTTGATGGACGAAAACGGATGATCTTGAGCACTATTTCATGGATGGGAGGAAAAAATCCATTTTTGGGGATTGCTTACATCACCGTTGGATCAATCTCTTTCCTTCTGGGAGTCGTTCTGCTAGTAATTAATCATAAATATAGAAACAGTAGTAACACTGCTGACACCATGGCATTTTGAGGTTGGCACATAAAACTTTAAAAAAGAACAATCTTTGTCCTTTGCTTCTTTGCTATGGATGACTTAAATATGATGGATATAAGTATTTGATGTATTGATTGTATCAACACTGTAACTGTTAAACTTGCATTTTAATGTTCACTTCCTATTGGGACAGGCCATGTGATGCATATAGAACTTTCATGTGAAATGTGTTTACTGCTTAAATGTTGATGCTGTGTCAATAGTATATTGACAGATGATGCTGTACATCTGTGCCTATTGTGTGATGGAAGGACATTATAAGATGTATGAGTGCAATCACTTGCTAACCTTTCAGATTCATAGTCACGGAAAGATGAAAAACTCAGTTTAATAAAATGTCTTCCTTTTCATGTGTCATGTATAAAAGCTTAAAGTACTATCTTTGCTTTAGCTTGTTCATGTATTATTGAGTTTGTCGGTTTTAGGTGTTGGTGAAGCTCAGCTTTGATTTCAAAGAGCATGCTTGTCCAACATGGACAGTAGTGCTCATGTCTAAAAAGGGCAGGTATGTCCTGAACAGGAGAATTGAAATTTCCTCTTTTCACTTGCTAAAACATTGCCCTCAGGAGACCCAGCTCAGTTGAAATGTTTTGCATGTGGTCGTTTCCTGTGAAGCTTATGTTTTATAAGGGAAAAGAATATGGTGAGATGCAAACTTCTTGGCAGATCTTCATCCTCTGCCTCCACTGTAACGTAGAGATCAGTGCCCAGAGGAGTCTGTTTTTGAGTTCTTGTAGTATTTAACTTCTAGAAACTTACTCAGCATTGGAAATACCTCAGGCTATTCTTATTTGACAGGTAAGTGTTTTAAGTACTAACATTGTATTTCAGAAAATTTTGAAACTTTAATTTCCTCTGTATTTCCTTCAATTTTTACATGCAGGTCAAATATGGATGTGTATACATGTATCGTTAGTTTATTTGTCAAGTGTTTTGGTTCGTTTTCCAAGACATGCTTTAAGAAGATGTGCTATAATTATCCTATTTCTGGAGATTTTGGAATATGTACATAATTAGTTATAATATATATGGTTGAAGTTATTTGCTAACTGGGATTATTTTAATATTCCTTATTGAATAAATGCTGTAATTATTTACTGTGGAACTTATTCTTGAAATAAATGTAAATTTATTTTTCCACATACATGAAAATGTATGTATTTAATAGAAGTGACTTAATTGCATCTTTTTAAACTAAAAACATGTTTATATGGAAGAATACCTGTTATTAAAAGTTTGTAATAATTTCATTCAGTTATATATGAAATCAGAAGGTCTGGGTAATTATAAATTTTGATTAATATATATTTTTAAGAAATAAAGCAATGTAATAGTTAATAATAGAAATGTGCCACCTTTAAGTTTTGTGTAACGTATGAAAGTTTAAAGAACTTGTAATTTATACTGACTTTTAACTCATAAAAATATTACTTATAGGAGTCTGATACATGATTCTCCTAAAATTTCTGAATACAGAGAGTATTCTTTATTTAGATATAGTCTATGTTTTTCCAGTCCTTTGTAATGTTGTTTATGTGAAAATTGTCCTTACAAATGGAGTTTGTTTTCTGGGTACATCATGGGGAATGGTGATTTCTTCATTCTTTCCAGACTGAGTCTGTGCTGTTTAAAGAGGTCTGCTATCCTGCATCCTTCTGTCTATCCCTGGCCCTCTCTTTGTTTGTGTCCCCCACTCCCCCAGCTTTTTCAAACTGACCAAGTTAAAAGAAAAGTTGAAAAACCCTTTCAGCATTTTCACATTGCTGGAGAAGATGGAATGTAAAATATAATTGGAGTTTAATCTTTTTTACAAGTGTATTGATGGCCTAAGGGCCTCCCTCTTTTCTGCATTTGAACTCTTTAAGAGTTTCTTCATGCTAAATGAAGAAAATTGATACAAGATTTTCACATGGCCCCTGTGAAGCATGGGGGAGGTAAAATACTTCTTATAGCCTTTATGCTTAAATTTTGGAAACATTGGCATACTTAAATTTTAAAGAATCCTACTGCATTTTACAGCAGCAAGGTTAAGTAGAAGACTTGCAAAAGTAATTTGTAGGAAGTATTTTGATATGAAAAGTTTTCTAATTGAAGAAATTATTCAATAAATAAAAACCAAGAAATTTCTTTAAAATCCTAAGGTGATTTACAAATAAGTGGGGGAAAAAACAACTGTATACCGAATAGAGAATCATTCAACCTAGAGAAGAGTCAAGTGAATGTGATTTATTGGATAGTGACAATTTATTTGTAATCTTGATTATATTAAAAGATAACATTCTGTTCATATGTTCTGCATTAATAAAAATGAACAAAATTAATTTTGCAGTGTCTTGCTGAAATAAAAATGCCCTGGTGTTGCTTATGTTTAGTATTTATTTTTAAGTCAGGGTCATTGAGTTCAGGCTTTAACTTCTTTATGCTTAGATTTAATAATATGCTATCCATTGTTAGGTTAATTGTTGGTATTAACAATCACTCTGACAACATAAATCACAAGATACGTACATTACTGAGAAATACCTGTTCTTAATAAGAAGTGGTCAGGTTGTTACCAGAGCTGTAGTCAGGCTAGCTAAGTTTGATATATCAAGAAAAAACTTTGGTAAACAGAGACATGGATAATGAAAATAAGATCACACAGGAAGTTAAAAGGGGACTGACTACAAAGGGGAGACAGCGCTCAGGGTTAATGCATACTGTCTGAGCCTGTTTCTTGCCTTTATGGGAATACTGTGTTAAAAGTATTATGTGCACGTCTTTATTGGACAAGTTGTAACGTTTCATTCTTTATGAATGCAGCTTTGAGGGGCTGGTAGTAGGAAAAAGGACCTGATGCTGTTAACAAGAATTTTGATCTCTTAAGTGTCTGTCGTAGAGTTTGGGTGGTTTAGTAAAATGTTTTAGAATCACTTTTTAGCCCATGCATCATTCAGTAAACTAAAATCACATATCTTCTAATGTCATTTACAATTTTAAAATAATGTATTTTTAAAAAAAAATAATGTATATTTTCTAAAAACAAATCAGACTACGGTGACTTTATTTGCTTTTATTTATCTATAAAATAAATGAGTATACACAATTTAATGATCAAACAGTAAAGTTCTAAGTGCTTGATTATGAAAAACAGTTCTCCCTTCCTGAACTTATCTTTCCTTCCTAGACTATTATGTTGACTCCAAAATTGTATTTTTTTTCTCAGTTTATCAAAACAATGTCTGTTCTACTTTTGTTTGACTTTAGATTTTGGATAGTTTTCTTTTTGATAGTGTTACATGGTGACTTAGCTTTAACATGTATCTTGTTTTATATAGTTATATATTAAATAACTAATAAACAGATTAGTTATTATTTATGACTATAAAAATAACCTATACTCTAGATGGTACCATGATTACATTTCTTTGTATAATTTTGTTTTTTCTGGTATTAATAGTTGTCTTAGGCTGGTCCGAAGGTAGTGAGTTATCTCAGTTGATTGTTCACAGTCAGTACAGATTGAACTCCTTGTTCTACTCTTTCCCCCCTTCTCACTACTGCACTTGACTAGTCTAAAAAAAAAAAAAAAAAATAGTTGTCTTAGTTTTAACACTTGGGTAGTTTTCTGCAAACCTATCTTGAAACTCCTGGTTCTGTATCAAGTCTACTGTGCTCTTACCATTATGCCCAAATTCTTAGTAATAACATCAGGGATTTCACTAGCAAGAGACTTCTTCTGCAGTAGTTCCATGTTAGTTTGTACTAGTTGCTCTTGGCTTGCTGTGCAGCTGGTATCTTACAACTTCCCATTGTTATTCTTGCATATTGTCTTGTTACATGATTCATTCTCTTTGTTCATGGTCCCTTCTGAAACATACATATGTCTTAGAAGTCTGACATGAAAGATAAATTTTCCGAGACTTTCTGTGTCTAAAATGTCTTTTGCTGCCTCACATTTCATTGTGAGTAGTAGTTTTCTTTCAAGATTTGGAGTCCTTGCCCCCCACCCCTTTTATAGCTTTCATTCTGCTTCTGAACTGGTGGGCCTTCTGATTTGGTGCCTGATTTCCTTTTCTTTTTTCTCTGGTTATTTACATACTATTGTTTCATCTTTCTAGAATTCTTCAATTTATTTTTTCCAAATTGTCTCCCTTCTGTTGAATTAGTAATATATTTTAAAACTTTCTGGTTTCTAAGCCTTCTTTCATTTCTGTTGTTTTCATAATTTCCTAGTCTTGGTTCATGTATACAATATCTTTTTTGAGAATACTGATGGATATATATGTATTATTTCTTTTATTTTCTCATTTGCTAAGCGTAAGGGTTTTAGTTATTTTTATTTAGTCTTTTTTTCTTTTGTTCATATTGATACCTTTTCTTGTATTTTGGGCCAGTCTCAATAACTGATAGACTCCAAAAGAATATTTGAGAGCTCTCTGTTTGAGGACAGTAATTTACAAGTAATAGATTTTACTAACACAGTGCCACCTGGCAAATTATTTGTATCTTGTTTCTGATAAAAGGTTTAGATAAATAGTAAATAATTGGCAAGTCAACATTCAGCCATAGATTACACTCTGTGAAGCACTGCATTAGGGAATGTTTCAGAAGCCAGCTCATATGGCTTTTATATTTACCAACTGCATCTTAAGATGCTAAGGGAATTTAGCATCCACTGACATTTTTTGGAGAAATAAGGTAAATGATGCATAAAAAGCATTTAATACCAGACCAACTAACCTCATCTTTTTGTTCAGCGGATAGGAATTTTATTTCCCTGTCCATTTTTTAGTGTCTGGCTGTAACTTGTGATTTTCAGAACCATATGAAATGTTGAGAGTCTGGAAATTATGTCGTGCTTGCTTCTCACCTTATGCTGTGAGGGCATTTGTAACCCCTAAATCCTAGTCTCAAAAACTTCACTTAGGTGATAGCCTATGGATTGTAGCTTAGATGCTTAGCTGGCAGTTACACTTTAAAACAGTGAGTAAACTTTGGCCCAGTTTCCTAAAGGCCTCTTCTGTCTTAATTGGCTGTAAAGTATGGAAAGAGGAACAGTTTTATCTCAAGGTGGCCAGATTGCCCGATGCCCACATTCTTGTGTGTCAATTAACCAGATGTGTAAGAAGCCTGTAACATTCCAAAGCAGTGATGGTGTTGTAAAAGTGGTATCCATGGCAACCCTCTTGACCTTGTGAACTCACACATGGTATACAAGGAAAACAGAGCAGAGGACTGGGGTCAGCAGCTTCTACTGCCTCATTTTGCTGCTGACTGCTGCAGCTCTTAAATCTCCCTTGTTTCCCACTCAGCCTTGTGGATGAATCCCTCACCCTTTGCCGTTACAGTACATACTCCCTGAGCAGTTTTAAATTCTTTATTGTTTCTTTTACCATGTTTGCATTCTCTTTTCCTTATGCCTTCTTATCCTACCTGAACTATTGATTAGGGTAATATGAGTTAATCAGGTTACTAAGGCAAAACTAGGAACCACCCCTTGGGAACATGTTAGGAGTTGTTAGGAGTGGATGGGGACCAAAGTTTGAGCCCAGGGCTTACTAAACTCCACCCAGCTCCGAGATGGGTGGGAGGTGTCATATTCTTAGATTTAGTAAAAGTTGTGACTAGTCCTGTAATGAGAAACACTAGCTCTTCATTCACCTTATTCTAATAAGTCAGCACATTATTTTGAGTTTTGAAGGTAATTCCTCTTAATTGGCTCTCTCTATCCTTATATACATCCTTTTGCTTCTTAAGTAAGGTTTTCCTCCTTGGATTAGTGTAGGAGCCATTTGACTGACTCTGATTCCAGTAGCTTACATCCAATCCTGCCTTTCCTTACTATTAAAGTGATTTTTATAAAATAGAGTTCTCATTATGACAGTTGGCTGTTGAATCCTTGGAATGGTGCTGAGGCACCTTCAAGCTAATACTCATCATTGAAGTCGGCTTTCCACTGTTACTGCAATCCTCCAGTTGTCTTGCCAAATCATGTTCTTTGTAATTCTCCAGCATGTAACTGTCTCATCTTTGCCTCTGCAGGTGTTACATTTTCTATCTGAATTTTTCTTGTTTATGTTTCTCCTAGCCAGTCTTTCCTCCCACAATAATAACTAATATTTATTGAGTTACCTCACTTAGTCCTTATAGGCACCCAGTGATGGGTCCTATAAGGACTGTTATCTTCATTTTAAGGATAAAGAAACTGAAGTGTAAGGCAAAAGTGAGAAATTCCCTCATGGGAACCGAGAATTGAGAAACAAGTTTATTTGAAAAGCCAAAAGACAACGGATCAGCTATGCAGTTGAAGCTGCTGACACTGAGTCTTTGTCTTCCATTATCTTAAAGTACATGCTTAGGGGGTCGCAGGATCTCCTGGTTTCTCTGGAGACTATGTTACACCATATCATTTTGTTAGAGTGTGACAAGACACCTCTCCAAACACCTGACTGGTTTGTCATTCAGGATGTGGCCATACGTATTCCAGCCAAACCACTTGTTCCTTCCTTTATGGGTTTTGTGGTTAACAAGGGAGGGGGCTATTCTAGGGAAGTAGGGTTAAGGTTCATTTAAAGTCTAACTGCTGGTAAAAATGGAGACTAGGAAACAAAATGGAGGTACTTTTGCTCTCAGTGTGATTTGCCTTCAGTCATTATCATCGTTTCCTGTGGCAGTGATTGGACCCAGGGACTCGTGCTAGGCAGATGTTCTCCGTGAGTTACACTCCACTGTCTTCATCTCACTATTGAGTCAGGATCTGACTTACAAGTTCTTCATTATAATGTTACCTTTTTACACCCAATCCAGTCCTCTTTTTTTTTTTCTTTTTGCTTTTCTATTTTGTCTGTCTATACAAACTTCATTTTTTTATTTTAAAGGGAGTAGAACAACAGTAAAAACAGTGATAGGACAGTAGGAAATCCACAATCTTTATTATATTGATTGCTTATTGCTATAGTCTAAATAGTTATAAAGACTACTGGCCCCAGGTAGTCACGTCACCAACATAAATGTCAGGTTGCTTCCCTACTTTGGTTATTATCGTCTTAGCCTGTGTCATGTTGTTACTTAAGGGGCTGAGGAGGCAGAGGCGGCTTCCTTGCTGGTTCTCCTTGGTCGACAGACCTCCACTGGTGCACGGAGGTCACACCACTTCCATGCTGCTTCTTCCTGGCTGACAGTCTCTGCTGGTACATACGGAGGCTGCATGGCTTTCTTGTTGCTTCTCCCTAACGGGTAGGGCTTTTGCTGGTGCACAGGGTGGGGCCTGCATGGCTTCCCTGCTGTTTCTCCCGGGCAGGTAGGGCCTCTTTCTAGTCCTCTTACAGTTCCTGTGATATACTGTGCTTGATTCTAAATTCAGGTGGTTAATCATTTTATAGGGGAAATGCTAGATGTCATATATGCCGAGTTCCTGTCCCCTGAAGTCAAAGAATGAATTCTAATGAAACAGGTTGAGTAGGAAAGTTTATTGGAGAAAAGGAATGGGGATGAGGAATGGGGGATGGGAAATAAGAATAGCTGCTGAGATAGGGATCCCAAATGGGTAGTTAATGAGTCCACTCAAAAATTTCATAGAACAGAATCATAAGGTGGGTACAAAATGCGTCAAAATTATCAGCCCGTAAGATTGCAAGTATAGTTGCTTAGGTAATACTTATCTAGTGTAGCAAAGGTATATGGGTGGCATCATTAACCTTGGTCGATAATCTGTAATCCTTACCTCGTTTTTAGTCTTAGTGGTTTTAGTCTTCATAGATGAGAATGGCCAACCCCTAATGACATAATGGGAAATCTCAAAAGGGTGATATCAATAATCCCAAGCCTCAGTCCATCCTTCAAGGAAGCATGTAAAACTATCCATTGTGACTTAATCTTCAGGCATGCCTCCAGCCATAGTCCTGATGGATTCTCATCTGCATCGACTCCCTCCAGGGGCCCAATCCTGCCTGACTGCATACTGTATTTCTACCTAATTTAGCTATTTATAATAATATTGTAAGTCTGGAATGCTTTTAGAATCCTCCCATTCTGATTTTACTGAAGCTTGCTAAAATTTTTGACTTTTCAAAATATTTTAAATGACTACTACCTGTCTTGAATTTCTCAGAGTAACTTCTTTATACCAGTTACCTGAGAAACTTTTATGTCTGCACTAAATTTACAGTTATGTGTGTATTATATTCCTAACTAAATGCGTCCGGAAGTTCAGGGATTTAAAGAATATACCTCTGAGCATATTGCAGAGTATTAACATTCATAGTAAGTGGGTAATAATTTTACAAAGAGTGACTCATTTTCATGTTTCAAGAAATTGTTTATCAAATAACTGTAGAGGTAGAGGTAAAAGTAATTAGCCCTACTCCTTTAATGATTAAAAAAAAAAAACCAATGAGGACTCTGGGAAGCCAAGCAAGCACCTCTCCTCCCTGAAGCGGAGGCAGGGTGGCAGACTGCAGCACTTCCAGGGGGAGAACTAGCAGTGTCTCCTGAGATCCACGCCATGTTGGAACTGAGGACGCTGTGAAAACAAATGTCCATCCTGCCTCCCTGCTTAGCAATAGTGAACATACTGCTACATGGCCTAGAGTCAAATATCCCACTTCCCCTATTCCCCCCCCCCCCCGCCCATTAGCAAATGGGAACCAGAAATCCGAGCATCTCCTGGAAGGTTGACCATAGCAAATAAGGGGGACTTCCTTCTATCATTTCTTTGAAGGCAAATATTTTTATTACTATTTTGATCTTTTCTGTTTAATAGTACTGCTGTATTCAATATTCTGTTTTGTAAGTTCTATAGTGTTCTATATTTCATCTCATTTTGATATACAGGATTGAAAGAACAACCATTATAAAGATAACAAAATATACTGTGATACCTATTACTGTTATCCCGGTAACCTGCTGTGAAGTTCTGTACCAATTTCACTGTACGATCTTAGTTGGCTTTATTCTGACTTGCTCTGTTGTATACTTTCAAAATAAAAACTAAAAAAAAAAAAAAAACAAGACTTGCAGTTAGATAATTTATTCAATATTCCAGCACTTTTCCATTTGACTCACTGGGTTAATATTATAAAATAATCCTATAAATTATGTGTCCTGTATTAAATTCATTCCCTTGTAAGCCCTGACCATATTAGTGACAAAATAAGGAATTATCTAACTAGATACATTTAATTTCACATGAGGCTCTTCTACATCATTTTTTGCAAAATTAGAAACAGATTTAAGTTGTGCTGTGTAGTTCCAGAATTGTGTATACATATAGACACACACCATCCAAATCACAAGACTTTTCTGCATTCTGTTTTTCAAATTTAAAGAAATTTAAGGCAGGATCAAAGTCAAACTTTTTTTTAAGGAAAAAAAATGAGTAACTGCTTTGGTAATTTTCATTAGTAACTGGAATACTTTCAGTTAGTATTTTCACATCTGATACCTAACATTGGGAAGACTTTTTTATCTGCCTCAAAATTTCCATCTGCGTGGGAAGAACCTATGTAGGTAGTGTTTTTCAGAAGAAGCATCCTAAAATATTACAGAAGAAAAAGGATTTAAACAAGTTCCTGTTTTGGAATGGAGCCTGATTTGAAAATAATTTATGTATGAGAGGATGAACTCAGAAATCTGCTAATTCTGAGTGTGCCTAAAAAAATCCAGTAAAACTCATAACATAGGTTATGATTGAAAATGTTAAAAGTTTGAGTCTTGAGGAAACTGTAGAAAGAAGGTTTAAAGACGAGGAACAGAAAGTAGAATTTATCAGAACTGGCCTGAGAGTGATCTGAGAGACTTGGGCTGGCTACTACAAACAACTCACTCTCCATTCCTGGCGATGGCTTGCCCTCTACAGATAGAAAGTAAAGCCAGTAAAGATATTGAGGATCTAACTTAACCGCTTCCTGGTGCTAGTTTCATCTACACACCTGGGCTTATGTCATCTAGTTTTTGACGTCAAACATTCCATCCAGATTTTTTTAGGGTTCTTTAAAAACTGCAGCCCTATCTGTAAAACCTGTATCTATTCAGTTCCTCCTTTAGATGTTTATTGATACTCTCGAGTCAGCCCACCTGTGCACAGAGGAATAAAATCTGATCCTCCCACAGCGTCAGTCTCCCTCCAGGTGGTTCCTCATGCCCTGTTATAACAGAATTCAGCTCAGTTTTAAGTTTGATCTGCTCCTTAGCTCTCTATGTGAACATACATTGAGCGGAAAGGAAATGTCACTTTGGACGTTGTCACGTGTGTGTGTTTTCAGCTCAAACTATCCATCATGTTACACTGTCTTGCATGTATGGTTTATTTCAAAATTGAATGTAAATCCTGGTCTGGACAGATGGAAAAGTTGAACATTGAAATGGGTATGAATGGAGCAACATGGAAGCTATGAGAAATCTAACAACAACAGTGAAAGCCTGCCCAGAGGAGTCAAGAAGTTAGAAGCATGGCATGGTGGTGCACAGCTGTAATACCCCAGCACTCTGGAGGCTGAGGTTGGTGGGTCTCCATGAGCTATAGGTTAGCCTGGGCTACACAAGTGAGTTCAAGGCCAGCCTGCACTACATAGTGAGACACTGTTGGGGTGGGGGTGGGGAGCAGAGAAGGAAAGACAAGTGTAAAAGAAGTCTTCTGAAGAATAGAAATGGGATGGTAACTGGAAATGATAGGTTTTTTAAAAAATGGGATTGTGTTTACAGATGGAATGATCCAGTAAAAATATTGCACCGTGCTAAGTGAGAGAAACTAAGAATCTTCATCAATGTGAAGATCTACTAAATGTGAATTCTTTGTTCTTTGGCAGAGTCATAGTGACATAGGGCTGTTACAGGACCTCCAGTAATGTAAGGGAAATATAAATCCCAACCTACTAGATGTCTGATATGCATTCCTGTTCTCTAAAATTGAATGAATTCTAGGAACAATGGAGTTTTAAGAGTAGAAAGTGTTTATCAAGAAAGGAAAAGCTAAGACAGAAGGATCTTGAGTGGATGACCAGAGAACCGTCTTTTCAGGGGAGTTTCATAGAATAAAACCATGAGGCAAGGCAGGTCTAAGATGGGACAGAACTATAATCAAGATTACAAGTACAGTCGCTCAGGTAGGTGACACAAGGTAGGTGTGAAGTACAAAACTGGTGAACCAGTAATATAACAACAGTCATTTAGGCAATATTGACTAAATGGGGGCCAAATGGGGAAGCAAGTAACTTAGACGTGCACATGGGCCGCACAAGGACTTTCCTAGAAGGGGTGGATTGAGGTTTTGGTCCCCCTTCCCTCAGGAGATTATTAATCACTGTTGTCCCTCCTTAGGACAAGCTTATGGGGGTAGTCGTTCCTCTTTTTCTCGAGGCCTGGTTTTCAACGGATGCATCTGCAGCCACAGTTGTCTTCTGCACTATTTCAGGGGCCCAGCTGTGCCTGAATGCCTTTGGTATTTCTAAATAACTTAGCTATCTATAATACTCGCTTTCTAGATCTGTCATACCTTTAAACAGCAATACTAGGGAATTGGTGAGAAAGTCATAATCCGTTCTTAGGATATTTCAATCACGCTGGTTAAATGGCAAAAACAGCACAGTTTTAACAAGTTCAAATTGTAGACAATAAACTTGAAATCTTCATTCGATAGCTATTGGCATGTGGCAAACATACTTAAAAGATTGACCACAGCCTGTAATTCAAAAGAAGAAAAACCAGGCCCTTTCAGTCTCGAAGGAAGACACAAGCTGGGTTTTCATAAACCTTGGTGAGGAAGAGACTTAGAATGGGACATGTCACTTGGTGGACCCACTAACACGCAGTAGACGAAAACACCCTCCAAGGATTAGAATAATTTTAATATTAAATGGATCAGGGATGCAGTCCTCCTTTTAAGCACCCCCCAGGGGGCGCGGTCCGCACGGCTCTCCAGGTCGTCTCCGCGCCTAGGGCAGCAGCGCTGCACAGCGTAGCCTGCGGCGGGGACTCGCGGGTCCTCGTGAGCGGAGTCGTCTCGGTGTTCCCAAAGTCACCAACCACCGTTCGCCTCGCCGCCTGTTCAGCCGCCAACTGAGCGCTCGTTCAAAACACTAGTCTTCTGTAACACCTGTTGTTACCTGATTGTTGTTACCTTCCACTGGTTTTACCTGATTTCCGTTGATTCGCTGTTCGCAGTCTCCACTGCCTCCCTCTAGGAGGCGACCGAGAGCCGGGCACCGAGCGACGAGCGGCTAGAGCGGCAAGAACCGGGCGGCGCTCGCGCTCTTCTTCCGCTCTCTTTGGTGAGCTGCGCAAGCTTTTCCCCCGCCCGGATGGAGTTGTGTTCCGGTACGCTTGCGCAAAGCCTGGCGTTCTGTCTGGTTCCGTTTCCGGTGTCGACCAGAGTGACTCCAGTTCCTAGTAGTTGGACGTCACGGTTGGTGGGCCGCAACTTGCAAGATGCTGCGGAATCTGCTGGTAAGGCGTTTCTGGGTTCGTATTCGCCACAGTGGTAGGGGTCGGGCGCAGAGGCGAGGACGAACGCTTCTAGGAGGACCAAAGGCGGTTCCCGAAGTCACCTTGATTCTTGTCCTCGCGCGGCGTTACTTTACGACGGTTCCTCGCCCCGGTCGTTGCGGGGCAGATGTGGACGGGGGAGGGAATGGGGAGTGACCTTACGGTTGTGGCTTAGCCGTCGGCACCACCGCTTGCGGCTCCTTGGTTCCCTGTCGCTCCCAAGGGAGGGAAGCTACGGCTCCGCGGGGTTCTGACTCCCGGAAGCGCTTGGCGGAGAAACGTCCTTTGTTTTTGAAGGTTGCAAGCTTCAGTGGTTCTGGCACAGTAAGTCACTCAGTTTCAGCTGTAGGCAGGGGCTGAAGTGTAGTGTTGCCTTCATGAACCCCTTCTCCATTGCCATTTGTCCCTCCACCGACTTTGGGCTGGTGACATATTTTCCAGAATTTCAAGAAAAAAGAGAAAATAGTCATCAATTTATTTTGTACTATTGTATTTAACATGTTTCATAAAACTTTTCAGTATCTTTTACTTTAGGAAGTGGAGCACGCGTTTATTTCATTATTTAATTCAGTTCAATATGTAGTACAAGTCATGCTAGAAACATTTATACCCTCATAAAATTTTCGTAGGTGGCTGAAAATGTTGCTCAGTGACAGAACTTCCTTAGCATATTCAAAGGCATGGGTTTGATCTGAGTATCACAAAAGATTCGAGGGAAACATTTTAATAAGAATCATGCTGGCGTGTTTGGTGCCAAGTAATGGCTTTTAATGGATATTAAATGAAAACATTTCACCTAACTATGTTGATTATCCATCCTTCATTTTTTTAAATACCTGCGTATTATTTGTTTTTCTCAAAACCTACGGGTTCTGCTCAGGCAGAGGTTATGAATATGGTCTTTGGAGACTGCAGAATGTAATAACAAAGCAGAAGATCGAGAACATATTGAAAAATCAGAATACTGGCCCATAGTTTTGTTATTGGCAAAACAGATGTCAGTGTCTTATAACATGAAGGGTTGAAGATTGCTGGTTTATTTATTTACTTATTTTACTTTTTGGTTTTTGAGACAGTGTCTCACTATGTAGTGTAGACAGGCCTTGAACTTACTCTGTAACCCAGGCTGGCCATGAACTTGTTGAATTTACTTTGTAACTTAGGCTAGCCTCAAACTTGTGGTGATCTTCCTATCTTAGCCTTCCGAGTGCTGGGATTCTAGAAGTGCACCACCGTGCCGGATTTGAAAATGACTGGTTTGAAAGGCTTTTTAAGGCTCTAAATGTGTCTAATGTATGTGGCTTTCCCACTTCAGGCTCTCCGACAGATTGCCCAGAGGACCATCAGCACTGCTTCACGCAGGCATTTTGAAAATAAAGTTCCACAGAAACAAAAGCTGTTTCAGGTACTGAAATAATTTAAACAAAGTTGAAAATTGTAATAATTTGAATACCAAAAGGTAGAGATAAGTAAATCTAGAGATGTCTGCTTGTTAATGAGCCTCTTGTATCAGAAATAAAAACAAAACAAAAAGCTGGCTTGTAAGCTGGCTTGACTGATTGCTGTATTTAAGGACACTTGAGCAAATTGAGAAAAGGAAAGGGGTGAGACAGTGTCTCGCTCTGCAGTTCAGGCTAGCCTTGAACTCACTTTGTAGACCAGGTTGGCCTAGAACTTGCAGAGATCATCTTGCCTCAGCTTCCATGGTGATTTTTTTTTTTAAAGAAGTTTATGATGAACTGGCATTCTTGGGGTAGTAACTATACAGGAATACACTAACCAGGGAAAGAACCCAGAAACAGATCAGATATATATGTGGACATTTAATATATGTTAAAGGATATGGCATGTCACAATGAAAGTATGCAATAAATTAATATTGGAAAAAATAGCTGTTTTTACAACAAAGTTACATCCTTTCTTATGTAGTATATTAAGAAAATAAATTTATATAGAACTATTACCTCCTTAAAACACTAAAATATGAAGAGAATATTTCTTATAATCTTAGGCATGGGCAAGTCTCCTAAGAAAATGTTTAAAAAACTGAGCAACTGTATAGAAAGAAATTAATAAGGTTTGGTAATGTAAAAATTTGAAATTTATTTGTAAGCATAAAAGATGGAACAAATTGAAAGCAAATTTCCAAGGTATAACAAAGGGTTAATATTCTTTATGCGAAGAACTTTTACACATCAATCAGATATGCAAATTAAGTGCAGCACAGCCAACAGCTAAGGTGCAGGAGCATGGCTGGGTCCCTGTCCTGCCTGCCTCTCCCTGGCCTCTGCCCCAGGGGGATTCTAAGCAGGCAGTGGATGGGAAGAACAGATGGCCATGAACTGTGGATTTGCAGGGAAGCAGATTAGATGGTAGACAACTGCCTGCAAGGAGCAAGAGCACTGCCATGCTTTGGTACCTGGGGCTCAGGCATTTGGAGGCCCTGCAGTTGACCCGCCCTTCCAAGCTGTTCTTGTATTCTCTTTCCTCTCCCATGCCGTAGATTTGTTGTGGACCAACTTAACCATCTCAGTGTCATCAAGAAACGGTCCTAACCTGGAGTTGATACTCTTTGACTTTATAAATCATAGGACTGTTACGTCTTTATCTGTTCCAGGAATTGAAAAATATAGCTTCTATAAAAATGTTACCTTGTGCATCAGTCTTAGTAAAATGAGGTGCCAAAAAATTAACAGTTACTTCCCCTTACCTGGTTGGCAAGATTTTAGAAGAACTTAAAGTAGGTATGTTTACCAGGTGTGAGGTATATCTACATCTGTCCACAGCACTTTCATGTGATATGCCAAGTAGTATAATTGGTACAACAGTTTGGATGTGTATAAAAATCACCCTGTCATTTAGGAAGTCTACTTATAAAAATTTTTGTGGCAGAAATAATTGCCTAAGAATATAAAAATGGCAGAGAGAATTTTAATTTAATAAAACCCCAGTAGCCTAAATACCCATTATTAGAAAATTGACTAATGCAGTTAAGATATTTTTGCATGGTGGAATACTATTGAAAAGAATAAGATAGCTTTAAATGGACTAATAAAATGGCTTTTAGGGTACTATTAAGCAAAAAAATTGTACATGACATAATGTAGCATACATAATCTTGTTTTGCACAGTAAAAAAAGTATGTATAATTTAGAAGAATTGATAGTGTGTTATAAAACAGAGATCTAGTAATGTAGAACAGTTTGTTTTTGTAATATTTAGATTGAATGACTTTTGTGGTGTCTTATTTTTCCCAAATAAAATTTCAAGGGATAGAAAAGTACTATGTTTATTACAGAAAAATAAAGTATTTTACTCAACAGATACATATCTACTGTTTGCCAGATCCTGTATTAGAAACTGGGCATATAAATCAGAATCCCCTGTCCTTTTTTTTTTTTAAAGGAGAAAAAAAATCCTTCCCTCTAAATCTAAAGTGTGGTGATAATTTATATATATAAAATGTTCAACTCATATTTAATAGTTATATATTCCTTCGAGGGAGAAATTTTGATATTTAAAGAGTTTTTAAGGAGCTGCTTCATTTTATAAGAATGATTGTTTTTGAACTTAATTGGAAATAAGAGCCACATATATTAATGTCTTCTTTTCTTCTCTATTAGGAGGACGATGGGATTCCAGTGCATCTGAAGGGCGGGGTAGCGGATGCCCTCTTGTATAGAGCCACTATGTTTCTTACAGTTGGTGGTAAGGCATTTGGCATGTGGAATGTTTATAGAAAAGCAACAATAACTTCATTACTTTTGCTGTGACAGTAATTTAATGTAGGCAGTCTGCCTCTCGAATGTGACATCTTATTGTACCTGATACGAGGATTCAAGAAGGTGACTGAAACATAGACTATAAGAACATTTTGATGTCTGAAAAAAATTGCACCAATAAAATTTAATGATTAATCTTGTGATAGAGGTGACTTTCTGAAGGTCATCACTAATGGCTTTGGATCCAGTTTTTCAATGCAAATCACCCAGTCCTCTCGTTGCAAGGACTTTTAAACATTTTAATTTTCATATAGAATAACATATTTTGGTCAGGCACATGCCTGTAATCTCAGCACTCAGGAGTGGAGGCAGGAGGATCCCTGGGAGTTCGAGGCTAGCTTGGGCTACCAAGTGAGTGCAAGGCCAGCCTAAACTGCACAATGAGACCTTGTCTCAAAAAGACCAAACCAAGCAAGACATAACGTTTTTTTTTTTTTGCGTATGTAAAGCCTGTATATAGGTATTTATGACTAAAACGAAACTTGTACAAAACAATACTTAACTTTTACATACGCAAAGATACTGGATATTTTTTCAATGAGTTAGATCCAGTAGTCAGTATTGGCAAGTACCTCACATGTTGGAGTAGTAGGAACATCGGAATTTGAATGGTTGCTCTCAGTATTTGCATAATTACTTTGTCCCCATCATATTGTTGACAATGTCAAAAACTTGGATTTCGGTAACCCCATATAGAGTCATTATCCTTTTTTTTTTTTGGTCTTTTTATTGGTACCAGGGATCGAACTCAGGACTGCCTGCTTGCAAGGCAGGCGCTTATGCCTCTGAGCTAAATCCCCAGCCCCCATTATCCTTTTTTTAAGAATGCAGGAATTAGATTAAACACTCAAGTTGACTTTACTTCTGTGTGGAGAAGCTGGGGTTTGAATTCAAATTGCAAAGACCCCATGTTCATGCCAAGGTTCTTTGACTGAATGGAGTAAAAAAGTGGAGACAGTTATAAACAAGACAGACACTGACATTTGGCTTTCTTAGTAAGCTAATGTCCTGTAATCTTTACAACCAATGTAATCCTTTCTTAGGCATTCTGGTAATTAGTTTTAAATACAAAATTCCATTTAGTAGCTATTTTTAGTATTAAATATGGTGACAATCTCATTCTTGATTTTATGTTGATTACATATTTTAGGGAAGGCGTCCATATTTTTTGACTCTGGGGAAGGGGTGATTTTGAATCAATGTTTCTCAGGAAATTTTATGTTAATATACACATATGTATTACTCATATGTAGTGTGTTTGTGTGTTTGAGATAGAGTCTCACTATGTAGTCCAGGCTGCCCTCAAACTCACACTGATCCTCCTGCTTCAGCCTCCCACATGTTGGGATTGTAGGCATGCATCAGTATACCCAACTTCATTTGTGTTCTTAATCTTGTTTTAAAAATTTTTGGTGACACTTGAGATAGAAATGTTGTGTGATATCTTAACATTTTGTATAGAAATTGACTAATATTAAAATCATATTAAATATATTTTACATGTAGTACTTGCCAGCATCTATCACAGTGCACTTAAGTCTGAGAGCTGCTGTAAGTTCTTGTTTGTGTTTTTCAGGAACTGCATATGCCATATATGAGTTGGCTATGGCATCATTTCCCAAGAAGCCGGAATGACTTCAGTCAAACCAGCAATCACGTGGCTCAGTTTCATTCAGCTCTCTGGACCAGTAATGTTATAAATAACTGAGCTCTTCTTTGAGGATCAATATTTATTGAGTTGTACTAACTGCCACCAATAAAGCAGTCTTTACCATTCTTTGTTTTATTATAAATCTCTTTAGGATGAATTACAGTGATAATTACAGTGATAAACCAGCTTTTGGCCAGCATTTGGAAGTCATAGTAGGAACAAAACAGTGATTCATTTGTCCTTCAGCTGCCTTAAGTACCATTATTGTGACATTTCTGTAGTGAAATTTTAGTGTATACAGCTGAGATTAAAAAAATGGACCTTTTTAGCTTCATGAGTGCAGCACTTGAAAGCATGCTGCTTTCTTCTCCCTTTTGCACTTGATCCTGGGATAGGCTGGAACCTGAGGGTGTTGGAGGCAGGTTACTTTTATCTATTGGATCTGTTTCTTTTTTCATCTTAGACATGTGAAAGTACATTTAAATGTTGGTTGAAATCTATAGTTTAGAATTAGACTGTAGTAGAATGACTGCAAAACAATGTAGTTTTTATTCCCCCATCCTCAGCGTGGGCTTTACTGTGTTACAGGTCCATAATGCAAAGTGTGAGATGCTTAGTTCATAATAAAATTACATTCTGGGGCACACAGGGCGTCAGACTGTTCTACAAGGCATACATTCGTAGTGCTGCAGGAAGATTGCAGGCTGGCTGTGTCAGATCCTCATGAAATCTGCGAGTGAGGGTTTTATAAACTTCAGTGTCTACATAAAATTAAGAAAATATATTTGAAAAACTTGAATCAAGTCTAAAATTGCCATATTGAATCTTTTGCTATCAAAACATTAGTTTATGATGCAAATCAAAGGATAACATCCATATTACAGCCTTTAACTTTGAAGGTTGAAAAGCTCTATATTGTCATCCTGAGGGAGTAGAATAAACATTGTAGACATTTTTTTCTTTCTTTTTTTTGGAAATAAGGTCTTGCTATGTAATTCAGGCTGGCTTTGTGTTCACTGTAGTGCAGGCTGGCCACGAACTCACAGTGAGCCTCCTCTGTAAGCTCTTGAGTGCTGGGATTACAGGAATGTGCTGTGATCCCTGGCTCTTGTTTATCTTTCTTTGGGTTTTTACTTTGAGATGAGGTATTGTCTGTAGTACTGATTGGCCTTGAACTCATCATGTGACCCAGGCTACCCTCAATCTTTGCCATCTTCTGCTTCAGCTTCCTGAGTGCTGGGATTAAAGTTCGGCAGGAATTTGGACCAATTTGGCAGTTCAGAGCTAAACAGTAACTTCTGGTAAGCCTGGTATAAGCCTGTGATCCAAGCACTCTGGCCGGCTGAGGCCAAAGGATCACAAGTTCAAGTCTCTGTTGAGCAACTTGGCAACTTTAGCAGCACCCTGTCCCTAAAACATAAAGGCCTGGGGAAGTAGTTCAGTGTGAAGGCCCTAGGTTAAACCCCTAGTACCACAAAAAGAAAATAACCATGGCGATATTTTGAAACTGTCAGCACTTCACAAAGGAGAATTTAGGTTGTTTTTATAAATGTGCCTTTAAAGTGGTTTTATGTTACAAAAGACATTTGTGGTAGGAAAACAGTGTATGTCCTCTACAGCCTTCCGCTTGATGTTGTGACAGGTACTTGCACTGTATCTCAGTTACCTAGTGAGACGTATATAAAACGAGTCTAGCAAGTTTTTGATGCCAAGATGTTCTGTTTGGGCTGAGTTAACACGGCGGGGTTAGATAAACTTAAGATGAAATGCCTAAGAGACTTTAAAGCAATTTTAGATTTATGTTTAACTTTACCCAGAAGTTTTGCAGTGCGTGTTGGATAGAGCTGGCGATGAGCTTGAAGGGCAAGATCTTAGAGAAGGGGTGCTAGATAGAACTCCATGAAAATACCTCCACACCTTTGAAATTTCTGTAAGAGAACTTACTGCTTACAGATTGCAAAGATTTATCCAGAAACCACAGAAGGGAATCTTTAAGAAGTATTGAAATTGCAGCCCCCAGAAAACAAGGGACCATCCTTCCAATCCTTTTTTGTCTCCCCTACTATGCTGTGCTTTTTTGAGAGTACTACCTGTTATTAACTGGGAAAAATTCCGTGGTCGTGTAAATCATTAATAAACCACAAAAGGGTACATATTTGACACTATGCTCAAAATTACCTTTATAGTCTACCTGTTCTAGATGGGATTATTGCCAGGCTATTTGTAGATTAAAAAGCTACATGCATTTTATTCAAGACAAATACTGGGTGGCACAAGACTTTGAATCCAGTTTTATGTTTCAATTTGGCAGTCTCCAGTGTACTTGCTCATTATCAGCTTGATTAAATGTTGACTAGGTTACGCTGATGTTACTACACTGTTGAGAGCATTATATGCAGATGAGATTTTAGTCTCTGTAGTTGAGCTTTTAGGAAGTGATTATTACCGCCTTCAGTTTTATTCGGTTTCACATTTATCTTTATGTAGTTGGCCATTTACTTAGCCATATCTGTCTCTCCTGCCTTACATTTGTATTCTGTTAGTGCTGAAACTTCTTCCTAGTATACACAGCCACCTTTCTTACAAATCTGGGAAAACTTAAGATTCTGTGGGAACCTGGGATATTGTCCCTTTTTCGGCATGTAGCAAATATTGCTGATACTCACTTCCACCCAGGACTTTAATCCCTTTGAAAGAGAATGTTTGACAAAGCCAGAAACCACTATAGCCTTGAGATTAACATGGTTAGCTTCAAAGCTTGGATTAACATTGACAGCCAAATTTGCTAGGCTTGTAATTCTCATCTACATGTATGGGTGATACCTAACATGCCTGATTGTTTTGTAACACATGTAAAGCACAAGAAATGCTTTCTGGCATGTAGCCAGTATGTGATAAATGTTCGATATTCCTGAAGCTGATCTTTCCCTTCGTACAGAGCAGGACTGTCAACTAGTCAGGCTGATACTGTGGGACACATCTGTTTCACACACACACTATATGTCTTTCAACTTTGCTGTCCTTATGCATCACCTTCAACCTCCGTGGCCTTTATCCTCCTCCCAGGATGGCTACTTGAACTCCAGCTCCTTCCTGTCCAGCAGAAAGGGAGGATGGGTAAAGAGCACATGCTCGCTAGATGAGTTCACTTCAAAGCCCAGCACAAGCTTACTCTTTTCTCCGTGGCTCTGTGTCTGTCACCAGCGTGCATGTGGGGAGGCCAGGAACTGCCTCTCTGTGTGCTTTGCCAGGCATACCTGAGGTCTGTTCTGGTAAGAACAAGTTTGTATCCTGCAGTTTTTGTGGAGCCAGTGTGTTTCTTAAAGAATGAAGTTAACATAGGAGGCAGGACCTTGATGCAGTTGGGGTGCTAGCTACAGTTGTTTCTGGTGCCCTGATCCATGCTTGTTTTTAGGGCTTGGTTGATTCCAATGGCCAACCATGTTCCCATTTTGCAGTAGGTTCAGGTAGGTTTCTGTAGCTAGGAATCAACCAAAGCAGAATCTGGATGCCCCACTGTCATGTTATAATAGAACTGTACCAGTTACTCTAAGCAGTAGTTGGGTGCTCAGTATGGGACAAATACTGGGAAAACAAAATGGGAGTGAGGTTTTTTTTTTTTTGGTACTGGGATTTGAACTCATGACCTTGTGCTTGCCAAGCAGGCACTTGGAAGTGAATTTTAAGAATAGAAGAGTTGGGGGCTGGGGATTTAGCTCAGCGGCATAAGCGCCTGCCTTGCAAGCAGACAGTCATGAGTTCGGTCCCTGGTACCTATTAAAAGGAAAAAGACAAAAAAAAAAAAAAAAAAAGAATAGAAGAGTTATTAAATTGTGTGTGATGGTGCACATCTGTAATCCCAGCACTTGGGAGGCTGAGGCAGGAGGATTGCTGTGAGTTGAAGACCAGGCTAAACTACATAGCAAGACCTGGTTGGGGGGGGGAGGGAGAGGGAAAGGGAGGGAGGGGGAGAGAGAATGGTCTTAACTACCTAATCAAAAGATATAGATTGGCATACTGGAACAAAAAATAAAACCTAATTATATGCTATATATAAGAAACATATTTAATTCAAACAAATTTATTTGAATAAAGAAGGATAGGGAGCCATATTCCATGCTATGGGTGCCTGAAAACAAGCAGCAGTAGCTATCTTATTTTCAGATAAAGTGGACCTCAAGCCAAAACTGACCAGAAGAGGCAAAGGGAAACATTCAACAGGAAAAGATACCAAGACACATGCATAGAACAACAGTGCCCCCAAATTCATAAGTTTAATACTACTGGGCATAAAAGATCAAACACATAAACACAATTATAGTGGGAGACCTCAGTACCTTACTATTACAAATAGATCAAATAGACAAAATATCAGAGTTGAGCCACACCTTTGAACAAATGGGCTTATTAGATACCTACGGTGTTTCATCCAACAACCAGATATACATTTTCAGAAGCACACATAATTTTCTTCAAAATAGACCACATACTAGCTCATAAAGCATGCTTAAATTAAAAAAATAAAATTATCCTATGCATATTGTCAGCTCTTAGTGCAATGAAATTAGAAATCAATGACAAAACAGAAATTATACAAATCCATGAAGATTAAACTCTTGAGTAATCAGTGAGTCATAGAAACAGGTACAGAAGAAAATGATTCCTAGAATCAATAATGCCAGACAACATTATGAAAACCTATGGGACACAATGAAAACATTCTTAAGAGAAGTTTAAAGCAGTGAATGCTTACATCATAAAAATAAAGTGAGCCCAAACAACCGAAAAGTGCATATCAAAGTCCTAGAAAAACAAAAAAATACTCCAAATCCAAAACTAGTACAAGGAAGGAGATTATGAAGACAGAGTAGAAATTAATGCAGTTGAGAAAAAATTAAAAAAATCAATGAATTGTAAAGCTAGTTTTTTGAAAGAATAAACAAAATAACCCTTGAGCATCTTTCTAAAAGAAGGGAAGACCCATATCAATGCAATTAGAATGAAAACTGAAATCACAATAGATGTCACTGAAATTCATAATATTAGTAACTATTTTGCATACTTGTACTCCAATAATTTGGAGACTGCAAAAGAGATGCATAGATTTCTAGATACATAAGAATTC